AAAAAAAAAAAAAAAGAACTTCAACAGGTTAATTAAGTTCTTGATTTGATATTAGTCAAGCATGATAGTGCTTTTTGTTTTTCATGTACTTAAGTGCACGATTTGAACTACAGTACTTGCCAATACATGATTGATTGTTCTTTTTTAGAATAAAATGGTGGTGTTACCGACAGAGGAGGCAAATTTGTCTGACATTGATTATCTGGTACCCATGCATGATGAGAAGGGCAGACCTATAGCAGAATGGAAGAGACAAGTGATGGTACGACAGCTACAGGCCAGCTTATTTGACCAAGAAACCCAGAGGTTAAAGGTGGGCAACAAATATTGCATTAAATGTCTTAAATGGAATACATAGATAACAAATCTAAGATGATGTTCTGACTGCACCTTTCTCCAGGTTGACTTTTAACTGGACATTTTGTCTTATTTAACAGGAGAGTGGTACTAGATATACAAAGATGGACAGTTGGAGGTACTCCCAGGCTCACAATGCCATCCTGGGTCCATTCGGAGAGCTTCTAACAGAAGATGACCTCATTTATCTAGAGAAGCAAATTGAGAGTGTCTCGATGCAAAAGAACGGCGAGGGTTACGAAATGGAGCTTGCTCGTCTGGCCGAAGAACTTCGAAACATTCTTCCGGCACCCATCGTTAACATCACAGTCAACACCCAGTACAAGAACTCTACACAGACTCCCTTACCCGTTTGGTGCAACCGTATTTCAGGCATTGTGAAGAGTATGTCATTGCTTATGACCAACCTAACAGACCAGCCCTACTGCAAAATGCCAAACACAGAGCTTGTGAATGTCTTCTCTCAGCCATCAGAGAGGAAAGCCTTCAAAAGAGGCAGGAGGGAGAAGATAGAAAATGAGATTCAACAGTTTGGGGTCTCTGTGAGGAACTTAAAGTCCAACTTTGAGAATCAGAACGATTCCTCACAAAATGAATCAGGGATGACAGAATCATTGGGTGAACAAGAGCAAGAACCAGTAAAAAATGGTTCAGATGAGGTCTCTCAAAAACCAGAACAAAGACCAGAGCTTGACCAGATTGATGATTCATCTATCGACTATGTCATTAGTGATGCCATGGAAAGTACAACCCTGCGCAAGGAACGTATTGTGGTCTTGTTCCTGGGTCACTGGAAGAAGTCGGCTTATACGGTGACCTTGAGAAATGCTCAGAGAAAGCAAAGCGTTGATTCGCTGGATATATCCAAGAAGCCCAAGTGTGAACGCAAAGCTAGCTTGGATATCTCTCCAAAGAACGCCATGGAAAATGGAAAATTGGGGCACTTCTTCAAGCAGAGAAGTGCCATCAATAAGATGATTGGGAACTGGAGAAGTATGATCTCATTTGTACCGTCGCGACAAATCCGAAGACTCAACCGGCAGCAGGCAATTTACTCACCTGAGCAGTTCCTGCCCCGTGTGGATGGATCTCCCGTCGACTACGACACGCTGACACTCGACCTCTTCATGCTTGGCTACTTTCACATACTTGAGCTAGATTTGCCAGCAGATGAGAGGAAGATGAGACACTTGCTGTGCTTTGAAGTGTTCGATCATGTGGGGCGATTCACCTGGGAGACTGTGCGTGATTTTCACAAAGCTGTAATTCAGGACATTGAGGCGGGGAACCGGGAATGGAAGGATGGATTTGAGGACATTAAAGTAAAGTTATTCAGAGATGTATCAGGCCAACCAGAGCTTGAACGCTCAGAAAAGACGACAATGGTAGAAACGAGGCCTGTGCCTAAAGTCATTATACAGACGCCTACCCCAGATGAGAGCGATGTCCTGAAAAATAATGCAGATATTAGTAGTCTGACTAATGAGGAGATTTGCAAATATATTGA